TTATCTTTTCGATACACAATTTTAATAATGCTATATTTGGATTGTACAAAAGAAAAGTAATTTACCAGATAGGAAAAAAAGAAGCAAACGATAATTAAAGTGTCAGGGACCTGCTAACCAGGACATGGCTCTTACAGTAGCTCAAGAATTGCAAAAATGAATTCATTCAATTCTTGATTAAAAGAATTCTGGAGTTATGAAAGTTTGGGCAAAGATAATTCACTATTGACACTGTGTTTTCTAGTTCTACAGCCCTTCTTTACAGAGGCAGCAGAAAAAGAAGGCATGAGGAATTAGATTATCTTTAAGGTCCCTTCCAATCCAAACCATTCTATCAATCTATGACACACAGCACACAGAAACTCTGTTTCTCTGGGTCTTGAGAATTCACACTGAAAACCCCCAATCTTCCTCCCACCTTTGCTGATAGCAACTTTTCCAAAGGAAACACGTGTGATCCATTCTCTGCGATGTCTCTAACCCATCCCTGAGAAGGATAAAATAATGGGGAGGGGCCACACAGCTGTCAGCCATACACAGAGGAGGTTTTAGGCTGGGGAGAGAGAAGTATCCCCTTACACAAAAGTCTGCCAAATCTTGAAGGAAGTGTTCTCCATACTGGACTTCATTCTTTCCCAGCATCAACTTCCTGATCTGCAAATGCCAGTTATATATATGATGCCTAAAAAACTTCCAAAAACTCAGACGAAGAAGGGAAAACTACAAATTAACACACTCTCCTTCTGAACAACATAAGATACTAGAGGAAGACCCAGACCAATCTTCATAAATCCTACAGAAAGATGCCCAGTCAATTTACATGCCACCAGCACACACAAGCTTGTAAGAATCACAGCACTGCTAACCTTTTACAGACTCAACTTTTTAAATACCATAAGAAGCAGTCTTACTGACCAAAACTGTTTGTATTTGCACTTTTAGCTTATTCTGTATGCAAATCACATGCTAACTTCATGTGCTGTGCTACCCATGTTCTAATGCCGAATGATACACTCCAGTGAGCAGCCCTATGTGCTGTGCTGTCTCCTGAACTTGTTTTTAATTAAAAAAATTACCATAAAATACACCCTTTTCTAAATATAAGCTTCCAGATACCATCTGCAACAGAACATTCCCAGAGTTCTTAAAGAGTAAGCACCTCTTCAGGAGAACAACAGAATTGGGAAACACTCCTTTTCACACGTAATCATGTGAGCCAGTTTCTTTCTCTCATTTGTTAATGATGCACTTTGCAAAACAGTTTACTATGCTAAAAAGAAATATTGGCCAAATAATTAATTGCTATCTGTCTTGCCTTTTAACAGCTGGAAGCAAGACACAGCTAACATCATGTAACTGACCAATTCTCACAGATTACCAGCAAAACCTGGTTTTAAGAAATACTCCGATTTATGTAGCCTGTTCTTTAAGATTTGTGAACATACACCATAAAAGATGTTGTAATACATGTAAAAGAAAGAAGAAATGATACACAAAGCTGAACAATGGGATAGTAAGTCTGTAATTCTTAGGCAACTTATACTAGGTTAACTTAAAAGTGAATCCATGGGAGGAGAGCGTTATGTCATCCTAAATACCTCGATCTAAATAGTCAATTCTTTTTAACATTAAGTATTTTATTTACACTGCTTCACAGATATGGCATAAGGCATTTTATTCAGCTTTAGTGGCTCTCCATTTTCTGTTGAGATGAACGAGACTTTTCAGAAACACTTATTTTCTATTTATTTCTACAGGTGCATGAAGCTAGTTTTTATGCAGGATATTTTCTTACAACATGCCACAGAGATGACCACTACACTGTATCAGCTGATAGCAAAATAATAAGATACCTTCCAGTTGTGAGGCTCAATGTCAAATACAATACAAACTCAATAGGCAAACTGTTCCCCAGGTAGTAAAAAAGCTTTAACAAGTGATTAATTCAAGCATCTATCCTTAATCTGATGTGAAACTCACCTGTGAAATCCCATCAATAGATTCTGCATGCTGTAGCTGTGGCAGAAGTTGATGGCCTTAAAATGTTTTCACCTCTCAGAAGTTGTTAAGGTTTAAGAAAAAATGTCTGTTTAAGCAAAATCTTTACATCACAATAACCCAAATCTGTTACTCTCCAAAACACACACAAGTCTTCAGTAATTTGAAGAGCTGCCTACCAGCAAGAAATTCACACCCTCGAGGCAGAAGCACCACATCAGACAGAGGAGCTCTGAAGAAAATCCAAACCTAGACATGCCCAAAACAAAACACAAGACAGCCCTGTCCCTCAACTGGGAAGACTCACAGTCCTAGATTTGACCATGTGAGGGGCCAGAGAACTAACTTTACACAAGCAGCTTAATTATGAACTTAGTGCGACAAAAAGGAAGACCAGACCCTTAAATACTCAGGATACTTCCTCACAAGTAAATCAAACACTTAACTCACACTCCTATTTTAGACATCAACTACTTTTTTGTTAAGTCTCTAAATATATGATACCTCAGACTTAACAGCTAGTACTATGATAAATAATTTTGTGGGTTTAGATTTTTCTCTTCTGTGTTGTTGGACATTGTTTTAAATTTTATATAGAACACTTAGCATGTCCCTCTATTTCTAGACTCCACTACTAGTCCCAGTATAATACAGAGTGGTTAAATATATAAAAGAAAACTTTAGTAACACTACTGCACCTCTTGTTTTATTATCATAACAAGAACTAGGAAGAAACTACAAAATCCTCCATTTCTTAAACCTATGTACACTACAAAAGACTTCAACACAAACCAGTCATCTTAGCCAATGTTTTTCCCCATTATGTTCCACAAAAGACAACTGTTGTGATTTTCTATGCTGTCTCAAAAATAAAATAAGAAAGATGGCAAAAGCATCACACTTGATATACACCAAGTCACAGAGTACCACAGAATGGCCTTTGTGAAAGGGTTAATCACTGCTCTTAATTACACTCAAGTACCTTCAATGACAGTGAATACTGCAGCAACATCTATGAACACAATGACCGCGCTAGCAGAGTACCAGCCATGAAACCCCTGCCAACAAACAGGGGTTTGGTTTGGTTTGGTTTAACCGTGATACAAAAATATTACCAAGTTCTGCTCTTCGGGGTATTTGCAGAGCCCTGCAAAAAAAATCTGTAAGATCAGGCAGCTTCAAAGAATGTAACTTGCAGCAGTAACCATGACGATAAGAAAAATGCTTTTGCTAATCTTTTTCTTTCAGATTACAGTACTTCCAAATACTGGTGGTTTTCCACTGTATAACAACTTTTGGCTATCGCTCCCTATGAATCTAGCCCTCCAATCCTTGTAAACCTGAAACTTTTGACAAAGTGAACAGCAGCTTGGGGTGCACTAGTAACACAGAATCAGTCCTAACCAGTCCACCAGCATCTTGAGTGACTAGTGGTAGGATGGAGGTCACTTAATGGCAACTATGTCTTATTTCATTGCTGCATAGAATAGGTAGGGAAGAAATTTGTACATTTTTTAGATAGTCACTTTGCAAGAACATAGGGAATCAAAAGAGAATAACAGAAAGAATGTGCATAAGGTATTTCTGTGGAGATCATAAAATTGCTGAGGTAGGTTAGAATTAGGCCCTCAGCAGGCTGACCATAAACTTCAGCAAAACTGCCTGGAACTCCTCTGAATTGATTTTGTCTTGGTTTCGTATTAAGTTGGGGGTTGAAGCATAAAAATAAGTAGAGATTCTTCAGAAATTAATCATTGTTCTCTATTCTTTCTCCAACAGACTTGCTCACCAAACTAGGTAATGCTTTTAAGTGATGTGTGTGATTTGGACCTCTTGTCACATTTTGAAAAGTGACTAAAAGGCTGATTTTCAAAGGCATTAAGATAGCTAAAGATGCATTAAGTCCTTAGAATTTTTAAAACTGCCTGGGCATCTAAGACCTATTTAAATCACTTAGTCCTTTCTGTAAATCCCAGTGGGCAGTTATCTGCATTTTATGTGTCTATATGCCTTTGAAAATGTGTACCATTAAATACTTAACAACCTAAGTCCCCTGGCTTTTAATGAGACTAAGGGTCCTAAAAAGAGTAAGTACTTCCGAAAATTGGTCAAGCCACTCTCTCTGCTCTTTTCTTCTTTCTCCTATAGAGCCATCTACTAATACTTATCCATAGCATTTCAGTTAACTACATCTTCAACACTGTCGGCCTTACACATTATAATGTGCACATTGAGTTTTTTATGGAACTAAACAAAGGTCCTGAATACAGACTGCATCCTCATAAGACTTTCTGACACTCCAGAGAAGAAAATTAATTCCAACCTGTAATCCCTTTGAATGCTCCAAAATCACTGTTTTAACAAGTATGATCCAAAATCTTTGTAATTTAGGCTAATAAACAAACAGCACAGTTTGATTACCCAGCAACTTATTCAAATGTCTGTAAACAAGTTCTGAAAGACAGCCACATAGCAGCAAAAATTGTTCAGAGGAAAACTAGGCAAGGAAGGAAGCTGTGAACAGGCTTTTTAAACAAGCAGTTCCAGAAAAGGAGAAATTTTAGAATTAAGGCTTTTTTAAACAAAAATGTATGAAACTATAAAGCATTCCCTCATGCAAACATTTGAAAGCTTTATCTTCTGATCTTCTTTAATGTCAATGGGAGGTAACTTGCACTGACCACATTCCCCAAAAGGAACTGATTTGTAAATTAGGAACGCAGGGAATCAGATTGCCACCTACAGGAAAATTTAGCATTTATTGTCAGGAATGACTCGAAAAGAATACAAATTGCCATCCTGCCAAGCACTCTTTCAGTTTTAGTTATTGTTTCACAAACAATTAGTATTTTCTTCTGTGCAACTATACCATGAACTTCCTAAACCCAGAACCATTAACATTTCTTTTTATTCAAGAGAGTTTCGCTTGCATGTTCCATAGTTCAACTACAAAGCAGCAGATTGTAATCACCCTTCAGTTAGAGAATTTTAAGTCTGCTTACCTGATACAATTGGTGCTAGCCTGAATATGTCCGACAGTCTGCTGTTAACTGGCTCATAAGGGGAATCTTCAAGCAAGTCATTTCCTAAAGACAAAACATATTTGGATTTATTTTCTTAGATGAGAATTCAGGGTAAGATTTTGTCGTTTAGTTTTACTCTGAAATGAAGTTACTCTGTAATAGCAAAAGGTGCTCCCCTTAACCTGTTTATGTGGCCATTTCTCCTCAAAGCATTATCTATACAGACATCTGAAAGAAGTTGTTTATCCCCGTCACTAGTTCTTTCTCTCCTTCCTCCACTGATAAGGTCGTAATTTCCAGAGACAGCCTGTGACATCACAGCGACTGCCCCATCTCTTGCCAGCAGGAGAAGAGCTGTAGCAAGGATGTTCCCCTTCATTCACTCTAACAGGAAAGCTCTTTTAGAGGAGCAGCCCATCTAACAGCTAAAAATGAGCATCTTCGGAATAAAACACTCCTAACAAGATGCTGTTGGAAGGGAAATTTTTTTATGATACAGAAATGCCCAGGAGTAGTATGGTAATTTATTATGCAAGTTAGAGGAAAAAATACATATTGACTCTAATTAAAGTGTTCCAGTTGATGCCTGGGTAAATGAACACAAAAGGATGACTTCCCCTTTTTCAGAAGCAGCTACAGAAAAGAGTTTAATGGGAATCACACTGAAATGGAAGATTTCATCTTCAACTCCAGGGCTAGAGCAAAACATTGTGGATCTCAAATAAGGACCTGACTGTTCTCAGTAGATTATGAGAACTCTGCCAGTGACATCAGGAACAGAAGTCTCCAGTCAATCACTGTCATAACCCTTCTAACTGGCACTTCTACACACTCACAAACTTCTTTTTTCCTGCCTCAGCATGCCCAGGGAATATTGCTAGTAAACACAAGAAAGGAAAGAATAAACTTCCCCTTAAAGCAATGCTCCTCTTTATATTACATTTAACTTTCAGCAAAGAGCTAAGAAACTAGTTCCAGTGGTCTTGTAGGTGAACCCTAATCAAGGAGTTTAAATATTATTAGGAAAATGTCTCCAAATGACTGTTTTTGTAGCTCTTGCACTTGCTAGTGCCCTTATCTTTTGACTCTGGTTTAGAAAGGTCAGCTGGGTCCCCTGGAGGAAACCCTCATTGTGGATTTCCCAACAACAGGAGACAGAGCAGCAGCTGTTCTTGAGTCAAATGAAAAGTCCTCAGTTTGCAGCTGAAAAGCACAATGTGAATTACAGGGTCAGACCCTGGGTTTAGCCTCGGTGGCTGTAACTAGCTGCGGATGTGAGCGGCTGCAAAATCACACCCTGCATTAAGGGAGCGTAACGTTGCTGTGTTTTGCAACATACCCTGTAAGCTCTGGTACATGCTCCAGTAAATGCGCAGGCAGTTTTTCTCCTTCTTCATGCCCCTCTTACAGCGGCAGTTGTACAGAGATTTCTGCTTGAGAGCTTCCATGGCGCTTTTGCATTCATCCTTTGCCTCCAGGCCTGTCGCCCGGCTGAAGTTGCTCTCTTTGCCGGCTACACACTGCCTCAGTGTCCTGTATTTAGTACTACAGCTCTGCTCCTTAAGACACTGGTCGCTGGCTTTCACGCAGTCCAGGCGGTCCCCTCCAGGCAGCGCGCTCACTTCTGCGGACAGAAGTACATCTAGAGAGAGGGAACACAAACCGACAAACTCTCATTGAGGGATGAGGCCGATTTAAGCAGGGCTCCAAAGCAGGTGTCTGCGAAGCACAAAGTACCTCCTCACGCAGCACATGCAGCCAGCCCCATGGGCAGCACCCTGCAAACCTCCAGGGTTCACCCTGCCCCAAAAGCACATGGGGCTTTCGTGGTCTTAGATCCACTTCTGTGGGAGCCCAAGGAACCAGGATGTTTTAACCCTGGTGGGCGATTGATGAGAAAACACAAAAAGGAAAGAGGATCCAGGGGTTAATGTGCCTTACAAAACAAGCATTCATTACTCCTTAGATCCACTTCGGTGGAACAAATAACCTTTCCGTTCACGTGTTAAACCGAGGGGTTAAATATTCAGCCTCACTTTCCACAACAGCTCTGCTGTAATTTCAATTACATCCACAAACAACCCACTCAGAGAGGCAAGTATCCTCCTCGCAGATTGGTATTAGCCTCTTTTTGCATCAGTCACTTTTTTAAGGCTGTACACGTTTCTGCTTATTCCACATCTATAAAGGTAGAATTTATGACACACACCCCACACCCCACCCATTTCTCTCCACGTATGATGCTGTTGCAGGAGAACAAAGCAAATTGCATTAACTCTCTCCTCTCCATCGTGCCCCCTGTCACGCTCTCCCAGACACACAGACAGCAGCACACATCTTCTGTGGAAAGGAAACCAGTTTGGGCTGCCAGGATCAAGTGAAGACGTTTCAGTTGGCTCTTGTCGCCCCCCCACCTCCACAAGCAGCTTTATTCTATTAAAATGAAAAGTTTCCCTGTAAGTTGCGAGAACCCAATTTAACACGAGGCTACACAGGCGAGTATCTAAGTCTGTAGTCTCCCAAAGCTTTAAACGTAGACTAGGCTAACTGATGCGAGACAGAGCCATAAAAACTACTGGAAACTTCACTGTTCTGCCTAAACAATAGACTGACAACCGTCAGGCATCCGATCCCATAAACCCCACGCTTTGCTTTATGAAGCGATGTACAGGCAGAAATCAGACGCCAGCAACTTACCCACTAAGGGCAAAGCGAAGTACAAGATAACGAGAAACATCTTGCTGTCTTCGGATGGTTTCCCCAAACAAGCTGATGTGCCACAACAAGGAAGATCAGCATGAAGATATTCCAAAACGGCCGAGGTCCAAAGGTTCCAAGTTCAGATCCATTGAATTTAAGGGAAAGTAAAAAAAAGAAAAAAAACCAACCAACAAAAAACCCCCCCCCCTCTCTCCTCTTCACCGCTCCCAGCACCAGCGGCAGGAGCAGCGACGCAAACGCTGAGCGTTTTCCCTTAGATTTCAGGTCTGAGCAACCTGGAAACACAAGCCCCGACTTCACTGAGGGAGCGGCAGACGCGCACGCACGGGTATATGTGTGTGCGAGTGAGCAAGCGGGAGCGGGGCAGCGGCACCGGTCGCCTCCTTGGGTGGGCAGCGCCTG